CATGGTGTCACAGACAGCATGGGGCCCCCAGGGGAGGACAGCAGGGCAGGAAGTCCCAAGCCCACAGTGGGCAGCCCACACCTGCCCCTGCCTCATGCACACATCTGAGGGGGTACATGCCCTCTGCCCCCTGGACAAGCAACGCACAGCAACATCCCACTCCCCACCCTGGTTGGGCAGCATGCCCAGCCCCTGCCCCACTCCCTCACTCACTGTGAGAGCCGTGATCTGCCCCACTCCCACCTGCCCTCTACACCCTCCCCGCTATAGACTTATCTGCAGGGAGCTGCTCTCCACGCTGCCCCGCTGTATTTCCCAGCCACATTTCCTGGCCACGTGTATGTGTGTGGGCACGCGCATGCACATGGCACCCCCTGTGTCCCGCTCCTGGCAGCCCCTTGAGGCTGGAACGCTGCCAGCCTGCAAGGGGACACCTGCCATTTCCTGACCCTTGCAGACCTTGATGCCCCACCCTGTTTCTGTGCACCCCCTAGGGGGGTGTGCCCCACAGTTTGAAAACTGTTGCCTTGATGTATGTTGATATAAGACAGATGCTACTAAGCCTTTGGGAACCTCTTGAGAATGAAGTCATCTAATCCAGGACATCAGGAGGTCATCTAATTCGCCGCCTGCTCAAGGCAGGACCACCCCTGTCTAAACCATTGTAGGCAAGTGTTTGTCTAACTTGTTCTTAAAACCTTTAGGAATAATCCTCAAACATATATACCAGGCACAATTCCTGAACATCAAAACACCCTTAAATTTGCCACAGGTAAAGCAGGAGGATGAAGGCACTGTCTATGACAGGGGTGGGCAAAATGTGGCCTGCAAGGCCATTCTGTCTGGCCTGCGGGGCCCCTAAAAAATTTAGAAAATTAATATTTATCTGCCTTAGTTCTTGTCAAAAACAACAGGAACCAAGGGCAGTAGGACCCAGGGGAAGCCCAGAGGGCTCCCACAACAACAGGGCCTGCCCGGCCCCGCCCCCCCAGTCAGAAGCCCCACCAGGGGCTTCTGGCCTGGGACCATGTGGCTGCTTCGGTCAGAACCACAGGTAAGGGTGGGGAGGGCAGGGAGGCAGGGAAGGAGCCTGGGGAAAAGCTGAGCATGCGGGGAGGGGGGAAGCTGCCCCTCCCCCACCCTGTGGCTGGCGCCTGCTCCAGACAGGTTGGCGCCTGTGCCTGCCAGCCGTGTGAGGGCTGTGAGTGGCTGCAGCAGGGAGCGCCGGCCATGGGGTGGGCAAGGGGCCGCTTTTCCCAGCGCTCAGTACCAGCTTCTTCCCTGCTGGCAAGCAGGGGGTTGGGGCTGTGCGCTGCCCCCAACCTGTACCATGGGGCTGGAGGCACACTGGGAGTGATCAGGTGCAGGAGCCAGTGGGAGCCAGCGGGAGCACGGGGTCCGCACTGGTGTCCTGGGGCCAGTACCAGCAGGGGCCAGGGCGTCCTGGGGCCAGTACCAGCAGGGTCCAGAGCAGGGTGGCGGGAGCTCAGGGTCCCAGCTGGCAGGGGCTCTATGGACCCAAGCCAGCTCCCCCCTCTCCCTGCTGCTGCAGCCCAGCCTGGCTCCACAGACCCCTGCCAGCCTGCGCCCTGCTCTGGGCCAGGGACATTGGTCCCAAGACACTGGGACACTGGTCCCAAGATGGTGACCAGGGGGTGGGGCACCTGTCAGGGGGCAGAGCTACCCACGCGGCCCTTGACAGCCTGCCAACACTGGGTAAGTGGCCCTCCGCCCAAAATAATTGTCCGCCCCTGGTCTATGACCTGCCACGGCAAAAACAGGAAGTAATTTGTTAAAGTATGCTCAGGAGGTCCTAGGAAAAGGACCATGCCTCAGAGAAGAAGACAAAAACCTGCACAGTCCAATCTGATCATAGGGTAATATTCCTTCCAGCCCCCAAATGTAGTGATCAGTCTGACCCCGAACAGAGGTTTAAGTCTCAGCATAAGCATGAGTACATCCCAGTTAAAATCCTAACCCTTACCATCATCCTACACCCAATATTTCTGAGGGAGATGGGAAAGACCATTTTTGGAGGAGTAGCAGACAAGAGGTGGGAAAAAATTACTTCTTTCTCTGTCATGGCAAACAGCAAAGCCCAGAAGCATGAGAGAGAACCAGGCACCCTTGACTCTGCACAGCAACCTAGGGACTGCAAAATCAGCTCCACATGTCATACAGCCTGACTGTAGAGCCAGAACTCCATTTTCTACTGTCTTAGCTCCTCCATAAATGTATCTCAGGTCCTTTTAGTCTTCTCCACAACCATCTGGGTTATGAAAGCTCTGCTTTGTTCTCCTGCTGACCATAATCCTCTCCTATTTCCACGTGTCTTGACTGCAGGTCATCTTCTCATGTTATTTGAGTGATGCCCTGGGAGGTCTGCAAGGTGTCTGTTGAGGGAATCTCCTGGGCCTTCCAAGTATTGATTTTCACAGCATGCTCCAGGCATTGCAACTCCTAAATCAGCCCTGACCAATGATTATTCAACCTCTTCTTGAAAACCTCCAATGAAGGAAATTCTACAACTTCCCTAGGTGGCCTATTTCACTTCCTCACTGCTCTAACAGTAAAGTTGTTGTTTCTGATATCCAGTCTTAATCTACTTTACTGCACTTCAAAGCCATTGCAACACATCCTACTCTCTGCAGCAAGGGAAAAAAGTTATTTTCCTCCTTCTTTATGGCAGCCCTTCAAATATTTGAAGACTGCTATCATGCCCTCCCTTAGTCACCTTTTCTGCAAGCTAACATGCTCATTTCACTCAGCCTCTCCTTGCATGGCCTGCCTTCCCACTCCCTTATCACTTTTGTTGGCTGCCTTCTCCACATGCTTTTAAGATATGGCAGCCAGAGCTGAAATACTTAATTGGTAAGTTTTAAACTGTGCAGTCACTGACACATTCTGACTTCAATGGGGCCAGGATGTTTCTCACAGTGTAGGACTCCTTCTGGATAAATGATGTTAGCTGACAAAGTGTAGTGAATTATGTAATTAAGAGTGATAAACTTTCCATTTGATTCCTACTTTGAAATACCTTCTATCCACTTCTTGAAATATGTATATGTTTGTACCATACATTAAAACATTTTTCTTGGAAAATTGGACCAAAGCTTTTCACAAAACCACCTTTAACTTCATGAATGAGATAAGAAAGTAGATGTTTAAAGAATCTTGGATCGTTACGCTGAGTGTCATCCCACAGTTTCTGTCACATTCTCCAGTGTTCTGCAAATCCGACAGCAATATAAAAAGATAGCACTGCTGTTTGCAAGCCAAGTGACCTTGCAAAAAACAAAAAACTGTTGTGACTAAACAACTAACGTTGGCAGCGAAAATTGGAACTAACCACTCCCACTCAATAGGCTCAAGGTTTAATTCAGTCATAATGTGCAATTGACTTCAATGGAGCTGTGACATTTTACAGCCCCTGAGGATTTAGGTCAATGTAAGTTTGTCTAACATATCTTCCAACTCTACAGTTGGTCCAGTTAAAGATATCACCAGAAAAACCTTTGCCTCTCAAAAGGTATGGCACAGGGGTGTCAGACTTGTTTTAGCCCCCACAGGCAAGATCCTGACTGTAGGGCTTCCTGCGGGCCAGATGACCTGCATTAACCAGCAGCAACATTAATCCATGTGGCTCCAGAACATAAGGCGCTAACACTGTTGCCAATTTTAGGCTCCAGAAGTGACTAAAAACTGCCTGATTTTGGTGCCAGGTAAAGAGTGGGGAGAGGCTCACAGCTCTGAATCTGGCCCATGGAAGTGGGTGGTCCAGCCTGCTAGAGGCCGAATGTATGATACAGAGTATCAGGTGTTTGCATCTTCCTCACAGGCCTCAGCATAGGACCTTTTATGAGAAAAAGAAACAAGGCCAGAGAATCCTTATGTTCTGACAAGCTCCCGCTATCTCCCTTTGGGAGTTGAACATGTCTATGTGTGAGTTACAGTGGCCATTTCATTATGATTCATGGAAAACAAAACATGCTACCCACAAAATCCTTATGAAGAAAGGATCAGAATAATTAAAAATTATACCTGAAATCTTGATATTCTATATTATCTGAAGCCCACAAAGCTGATCTTTTGCAATATATGTCTTTCTCAAGAACTGAGAAACATGTGTGCACGTGCACGCATCCATGCGTGCACACACACGTTACGAAGTGACGAGCATGTAACAAGGGCAAGTGTGTATTTGGGGGGAAAGGCTTCGAAATTCAACCTTGTTACAAAAACAATGCGTAAATACAGTTAATTTATTCCCTTTGGCCATGGATGATTCTAATAAGGGGAAAAATGTGTTTCTGCACAGAATTTATTTGACCTTGGATGGGATATTAACTAGATAGTCTTATCAGTTAGGACTGTGTTAAGCTTAACTGCTTGCATTCCATCACATATTTTGAACAACTTGAAATGTACTTCCATACACTTATCTAGGAAGAATTTGTCACATGGTCAAAAGAAGTCCAAACCAGATTGCTCTAATATTTAAGAATATTTACTTATTTTGTCGGAAGAAGGAATGCTGGATTTTAATTTTTTTTCAATGTGACTTATTTTTTCTTCTATAAGAGCGTGAGAGAACAGCGAAATAACCTTTTCCCAAATATTATGTTCTTGCTATGTAACTGATTAGATTGCATTTTTCAGATGAGCATTACTCTTACAGAGGCTTTTTTTAGATCTTCTTTTTTGCAGTAAGATCAGGTTACAACTGGTTTAGTTAGATGTATAACCTATTAGGTATGAGTTCCCAAACTTAATGCAAAGTTGTTTAGATCTGTCTGATACTATACTTCAGTTTCACTATTATCGGTGATGATTATATAGCCAATAACTGACCAACATAAATGGCTAACAACAGATTGATTGTTTGCTTTCAAATGTAAGATACAATATCCGACAAGGAAAAATAATCTCTATTTAAATTTATAAAGAATCTAGTTTAGATTTTGTGATGAGTAGGCTGCTTCAAGCTAAGGAATGTGGAATTAAGTAATATGTAAAATTAAATTTAATTATTTTCTCCTAATTCATAAGCAACAGCTGACAGATGTCTTGCTTGGAAGAAAAAAACAAAGGTGGCTAGAGTTAAATATCATTGTTGGGAGGCTATCAATACTTAGTGTAAGGTGAATGAGTAAATGTTTAACTTAGTGTTTAACCCTCTAAGGAATTCTGAAATGTATTTTATTAATACCTGGAAATGTAGTTCTCTTCACCCCTTGCATGTGGTAATCTGAGCTTCATTGATTTCAACCAGTGAAGATTTCACATCAAAACAAGATTTCACATGTGAGCTTTGAACAATTTACTCCTCTTAGGTGATTGTTTCTGCAAATGTAGGATCAGATTGTGACTTGTCCTGAACGTCAGATCGAGGGACTGCAGCAGTGCAAGGTGCTGCTTTGTACCATGCTTCATCAGTGCCAGGTCACAGAGTGTAACAGATTTCACAGCATTGCAGTAGCCTCTCATTTCACATGCTCCTTTCTCAGAGAAATGGTTGAAATTCTTTCCTGAAGCAGCAATGAAACAGAGAAAAGGATGAGTTCTTTATTCATCATCTCTCTCCCAGGCTGCAACAGAGGCAGAGCAAGAATGTGCTGAACTTTAATCTGGAATGATTGCAAATTATTTAACTACCTGAGTTACATTGTCAATCTAATTGCAGGCTTGAACAGTCAATAGAAAAAAGTGTAGCACATTCCTGGCCTCAAGATATGTTCTCCTAAAATAGCTTTTACCACAGTGTCTCAGTCAAGTTCCCAAGTTAGCATTCAGCAGCCTACCTTTTCTTGACTCCTTTGCTTTCTCTGCTCCTTTTGGCTTCATGGCATGTTGACATACTTCTGGAGAGAGAGGACACGATGTAGATCCAATGGCCATAATTTCAACAGATGGGATGTCAAATTACAGAGTTCAGATGTGCTTAAATGTCTTAGGTTACCTTACATTGAGAAGGTGATGTGCTGTAGTGCATTAATTTACATCAAACAAACTAGTAAGTGAAATGGTAGGAGGAAAAGGAATACCAAGTAGATGCATACCCATGAAAAGCTTGATTTGCATACATGTTGAGTGCCCTGAGGCATGTTAAGTAGGTATACTTTAAATTCAAGCCCCAGGAGGTTTACAGTCCAATGTTTTAAGAATGAGAAATGAGCCCAAAAACGATGTTGTATGACCTAGTTGTTAGAGGAAAGGGTTTTCAGAATGACCTTGATTCATGATCTTGTTGTCAGAACCATGTAATGGTAGGACGATTCCTACATTTTAGTTGAATGATGTACTCTGTGGAGATGACATATCTAAAAAGAGTAGAAATCAAAATGGTGGAAGTCTGTAAAGAAGACTGTCCCATTCTCAGTTATACGGACATGCTAGATTTTCATATAAAAGTGGTGATCTCTCAAAATGTTGTCCAATAGAGGGAAAG